GATTGTTTTTATAAACCCTATTCAGAAATTATGTTGATATTATTATTATATGAGATTCTATTATTATTAATATATTACATAATTATAATATATTCTATTATATATTAGTATATTATATATCATATATAAAGTTTTATATTTTATGTATTTATTTATTTATATTTTAATATTTTATATTATAGTTATTGAAAAAATGATTATATAGATAATGAAGAATGGATGGATGAATGAAAACAAATCAATTTGGCCAGACCCATTACTGAATTACATGACAGGACTGTGAGACACATATTGACAGATCTGATGTAATTTAGTAACACCCAAATTAAAAACCACTCCTGGAATCGCAACCTTAACGTGGTAGAGAGGTTTGTGTGTCCCAATGATCCTGGGAGCTGAGTTGTCTGGGGCATTAGCCCCTGAAAGGGTCTCCCATGGCAAATTGGTCTCAGGGGAGGGACCAGACCAAGAGCGATTCAAAAAAATATATTTGTATGGATGCTGATTCATCTGATTCTTCATACTTTTTAAACTATTTAGTGTTTTTCAGTAAAATCTTGCTCAATTTAATTGAATGGGGAAATTCTACTTCAGCATACTTTCAGCTATCAAAATGTTCAGCTCTTCAAGGACATTCATGCTTCTATTCAGATGTTTTATAAACTTCATACTTTTAAAATATTTAGCTTTAATTTGAAAATCTTGCCCCATTCAAATGAATGGGAAAATTCTACTTCAGCATACTTTCAGCTAGCAAAACCTTTCAGGTGTTATTCAAGTAAATCAGGGAAATATCAAAAACAACTTATGAGAGTAACTTTATTCAGAACTTTTTTTTGTCACAGTGAAGGGGGGCAGAACTATGGCACAACCAACAAGTGTGACAGAAGTAGCATTTTACAACAACAACAACAAGGTGATGCTGCCTGTCCTTGAACACACCAAGTAGATCCCTCCTCACCCATAGACATTTCTAGATTCCACTTAAAGTGGAGAGATGCCGTTACTTTGTGAGTAACAATCCAAATGCATTGTGGGAGATGTAGTTTATGGTCAATGCATGCTTTAAAGCAGAATATACTGATCTACAGGGAACAAAAACAAAAACAAAAAACAAAAAAACAAAGCATGAGGAGCAGCAGGAGAGAAACTGAATTTTACCAGCAGGACAAAAGGCATATGAGGTTTAGGAGAAAGTTGGGATGCAATCTCATTTTGTGATAGCTGACGGAGGACTGTATATTCACATAGCTGCCCTAATATAGCGCAGCTGTGTCATTAGGCGAAGTACTGTACAACCAAGGTGATTTTTTATGCACAGCAATAATGTCTTAATGTGAACAGATGAGATAAGGCAAAAGACATCATGGAAAAATGTATCATCCTGATGACTGTGACTCTGACAGACTACTGATCAAAGCTTTCAGGACTAGTATGTGCTGCACTAAACTGACTTTGCTCCTGATTTAATCTCTGAGATCTCTGGTTGGTTATGTGAGCTCTGATCGACTCTGACACACTGATATGAAGCACAGTCAGATGATGTCATTATGATGAAATGCACCCAGTGCAGATCATCTTTCCAAACTCGAGCGTGAAGGGCAAAGGCAATTTTAATTCCCCCTGTTAGGAGATCAGATGTGATAAGATGAAAAGAGATGCTGTTGCCATTGCATTGCTGCTCTATTGACTGGCTCTTTCCAATTTGTAGTTTTTCCTTATTACGTTGCAGCTCTACAATAGCACATGGAGAAAAGGCAAATATACCCGATAGAAAAGCTTAGTTATCACAAACTGAACTGTTTCTCCTAGCTGACGACAAGCTGACAATGTAAACAGTGCAGGATTTAAAATATCAGAGAAACATGTAAATGCGCTCAGGAGAAAAGGCCTCGTGGAAACACACGTTTTAGTGACAAAACAATGCACACAGCTTTTGTTTCTTTACAAGAAAACCCCATAGGAAATATTTCATTAATGAACTAAATATTAAATTATTTTTAAAAAAGGATTTACTATATAATGACAATAAAAATCATTTGTTTTGGCCAGTGAACAAACCAAAAGCCAAAGATATTCCGTTTACTATCACATAAGACCAAGAGAATGGGCAAATCCTCAAAATGTAGAAGCTGTAGTTACATTTGTACCACTTATTTGGCAGTTTGGCTTGAATAATGACTTTAATTTTATAGAGGTAGAATAAAAATATGATATCGTATGGTACAATTTACCACTTTATGCTAAAGTCGAAGTGCACTGTACAAGTCAAATTAGCTAAACACTTAACAGAGAATGCAACAAAGGCCTGGGCAACATAAAGCAACATCAGTAGAGGATGATAAAGACAGAGCCACCACTCATTAGCAGCCATGACAAACACTGGTGGGCAGTAGCATCGCTCACCAGGATGCCGCCAACTAAAAGAAACCAAATTACCAAGTTTCACTGTTGATGTTTATGTCATATTCTGTTGACCATGTGTGACAACAGGGGGCCTGAAGGTTTCTTTTAGGGTGTCACATGAATTTTTGTAGTAAATACTGGGTCATTAGGAAAATAAGTCAAGTGCGAAACTGACAGTAGAAAATGGCAATATCTGGTACAGCATACCGCTGAAATGTTTCTTTAACTTCCACCTTTCACCATAAAGAGGTTATATTTGGTGCAGAAGAGCTCGTTCCTGGCTTTTGTGGTGTTTCTTTACATACACAATGAATCAATCGTATATTGCACTTTGACTGGTAATGTGAGAAGCACCAGAGAAAAAGCCCCAGAATAACTGCAGCAGATGGAAAGTGAATAAATAAATAAATGAACAAAAAGCAAAACCAGTTTTATGATCAGGAAAGCAAACTTTTAAATGACAACCATAACTCAAGGGAAGTACCTGGATGGTTGAGTGCATTGATTTCCCACCGTCTGTGAGTGAGTCATTATCCAGTCTGTGTGTGTGTGTGTGTGTGTGTGTGTGTGTGTGTGTGTGTGTGTGTCTTTGCAATTGGAACTCACACTGTCTGTGTCAGGCTCACACACAAACACACACACACAGACAGGTGAGGTGAGGGGATGACAGTCTCAGGCAAGTCTGTGCTCAGGGCATTTCCTTTTGTCTGAAAATTCAACACCTCCAAAATACCCCTTCTCTAAATAGTAGTGGTTATGGTTAAGATTAGGATAAGTCTACAGGAAATAAATGTAAGTCAATGTAAAGTCCCTACAAGTAATGAAAACACAGCGTGTGTGTGTCTGTGCCCAACTGACAGTGCGGTCAATGAGCTTGTCTCTAGAGGAAGCAGTAACTGTGCTCTTATTTAAAGTGCTTCTCTGTGGAAGCTGTACAGTAAAGGCACTTGTGCAGGAGTATTTCACTGACAATGATTACTGCCGACTATGAAACGCTTGATGTACAATAAAGATCACTTTAGGACAGTTTCAGGTATTTAAATAAGTGATGGAATAAGAAGTGGTAGTCACATATGAAGAGCTTCTGCTGCTTTTGAAAAAAATCTGATTCAAATTTGGACAGCACATGCATTTAGTAACCTGGGACCAGTAGCATTAGCAAGGCACGCACACTTCAGGCAAAGAAGTTCAGAGAGACACAGACAGATATTTGGAAAGATCTGATTTTAGCCTTAAACTTTTGACCTTTATTCTCTTTTTTTGCACAGTTACAATGTCCTAATCAAATTTATCACCTTCAAGCAAATGTATTCACTTCTGTTGAGAGACTAATCAGCAAATCATTTCAGCGCTAATTAATTTCTGTAGCAGGTATCCGATGTTTAGGCTCAGTTCTCTATATTGTGCATGTGAAGTGAGAAAATGCCTACAGTGTTGAAGTCTGCTGTTTCATAAATGGATGGTAATTTCATCCACAGCAGATGAACCGTTACATGTCTTCCTTTAGGCTCTCAGGCAGCAACGCGGAGACTGAGAAGCAGGTTTGATGAATCACACCCTCGTGTACTTACATTCGTTCAGCTAATCATGTGCACAACGTTGTCTAACAGCAATTTAGCACCCCGGGGAGTCGCAGCTAAATTCTCATAAAGATATACAAAGCCCAAAAAAAAAAAAGAACTTGACAGATAAACAGAGGCATCAAGAGGGACATGCTGTTTATTGGCTGCATACAAGTCACTGCAGAGCGCACATTTCTACTGCATTTTAATAATTTATATCTGAGTGTAATTTCAGTCTCATCAAAATACATTAGGCTGTAGTTGAATGAAGGGTTATAAATTTAAAGGGCTATACTGTACGGGCTGAAAACATCCTTTATCTGAAAGCCTGTACTTTAACAGCGCAGAATAATTTCAAATGAGCAATAAAATGTGTCATTAATTTTATGCAACTCACTGTTCGACAGCTTTATCATCACTACATAAACATTTATAATCAATCTGTGGTATAGCCTCCTTAATGCCATTGTATCATTTGTTTTTATACTGACAGTAACACATTAAGGCATACTGTATATATCACACTAAAACTGCATGTTCTCCCAGTAAAGTGTAAATGCTAACGCTAGCTCTGACTGCAACTGTACTGATCCAACTTTTCTCTCCTGATAGCTAAACTACCGGTAGAGTGTATGGGTCCAACAGCAGTGCTCTCTTTCCCCAAGTTAAAGAAATGCAAACCTCGCTGTAT